CTCAACATGACTAATCATAAGGGAAATGCAAACAAAAACCACCATGAGATATCATCTCCCATCTGTTAAAATGGCTGTCATCAAGAAGACAAGAGACAACAGGTGCTGTCAAGGATGTAGTGAAAAGAGAACCTCTGTATGTTGTTGGTGGGAATGTAAATTGGTCCAACCAGTATGGCAAACAATTTGAAGATTCCTCAAAAAATTAAAAATAGATCTACTGTATGATCCAGCTATTCCACTTCTGGTTATATACCCAAAAGAAATGACTACAGGTTTTTGACAAGATATATGCACTCCACATTTACTGCAGCATTATTTATAATAGCCAAGATTTGGAAACAACCCAAATGCCCATAAATGGATGAATGGGTAAAAAAATGTGGTACATATGCACAATGGAATATTATTCAGCCATAAGAAAGGAAGATATCTTCCCATTTGTGACAACATGGATGGACCTTGAGCACATTATGCTAAGTGAGGTAAGTCAGACAGAAAGACAGTGCTATATTAGATCATTTATATGTGGAATCTAAAAAAATTAAACCCATAAAAAACAGAGTAAATGGTGGTTACCAGAGGAGAGGGGTGGCTAAGAATGATGGTGTTTAAAGGTACAAATGTGTAATGAGTAGTAAATAAGCCATAGAGATCTAATTCATATAATAAATATAGACTATAATATTGTATTGTAATTATGTAATATGATAAATATCACTATATTGTCAATCACATTACAATATGTAAATGTGTCTATGTAATAAGCCATATACCTTAAGCTTAACAAAATGTTACACGTCAGATTTATTCAATAATAATTAAATGCCATACTAACACATAGTTTACATATAATAAATCTTTTTGAATTAATGAATAAGATATTGAAAGACTGGTATTTTTTTCTTCCTGCAACCTACATAGATGCCCATCATTATGTAAAAATGTAGTAACTATCATTATCATTTATTGAAAACATATTATTTACCAGTCTTCCAGTTTCTTTGTGATATGCCAACAAACATACCCATGATACACTATTATTGAAATTTTACAGAAGAAACTGAATTTTGGATTAAAAAACTTGCTTAAGGTAACCCAACCAGTAAGTGACACAGTTAGAATTTGAGGTAAGGTCTTTCCGCAAAGCAAAAGTGCTGGCCACTATCCTAATATTTTAACTAGGTTAGGCCATAGTTCATGTTATATTAAATGGTCAAATTCCTTAGGGTTTAATGCCTAGAGAAGTCTAATATTTCCCTTAAACTTGAAAATGTGTTTCTATTTTTTTAAGGGATTGTGTTAGTTTATTCATTACATATTAAAAAAATTACGAAGTATTACACAGCTCTTATAAAATAATTTGCCAAATTCAGAAGTTAATAAAGTAAATTTCTCCTTTCAAATTTTATTCTCTAAAGGCAACCACTTTTAATAACCTTATTTGTACAAAGCAAGACTTTTTCTGTGCCTACATTCACATACTCATGTAGTTAAAATTGTTTTTTATAAATATGGGATCATATTGTATTGTACTGTATCTTCCTTTTTTTCCCCATTACAACATGTTTTGTCTATGTGAAGACATTGATCCACTTAATTTTTTGTAAGGACAAAATAGTTTTCCATTTTATGGATGTACTGTAGTCCATCTCTTGCTTATTTAGGTTGTTTCTGTTATTTTAATAGTACAATGATACATCATTAAAAAATTCCTGACTCATCTTGAGTGTCCTTTGGTGCTTTTTTAAAACAACATTTTATAAAAGATCTTTTATTAAAGACACTTTAATGCCATTTGTTAGTTTCTTCAGTATTTTACATGTTTTTCAATGTACATTGTACCAAAATTCCATAAATAAATGTTTGTGTTGAATACATAAAGGTAATACTTCCTCTTTCACATTGCCTTGCAGAAGCAGCAAATTCACATATTTTGTGGAAGTACCATCAATCAGTTAACTGTTCAGAACGAAATTCTAAATGTGCTTACCTTTTTTGGAACAGTGATGACATTTGACAGTAAAATTTAACATTGGTAACCATTCATCAATCCCTAACTTCAGCTTCTTGACTAAAGGGGCATGTTTTCTGAAATTTTAAGGACCTTGTTTGTTTTAATGTAATTTTTCCTGAAATACACATCGGCACTCACAAGATGGTTTGCTATAGATCTCAAAAGTGCAAATATACCCAGAACCCAGGTCCAGGGCTTTTAGAAGTGTAAATTGCTTGCATTTTCTTTTCTGTAAATTGCCTGTGTTTTGCTGCTTTTCAATTGGGTTGTTTAATTTTTTCAAAGTTTCTTTTCTTTCCCTCAAATATAGTGACAACAGCACAAAGTCTTTGGGTTTCCCATTTATGGCATTCCTAGTTTATGAAGACATGACAGATCTTAGAAATTTACTGCACGTCTGTCCTGAAATTTGTGTTTTATCATTCCCATTATAGTTTTACTACCATGTGTATGTGTATGCACTTCTAATGGACATTCCTGAAGTTGTGTGACTTTTGAAACTCTTGTAAATGAAGGTTTTCTGTATGTGTTCAAAGACCAAATTGTTTTCTTCTGGCCATATGCATGAGTGCCTATTGTACTGCATTCTCACAGTACTCAGTATAATGAGAAATTTTTGTTTTTTGCTATAGATGTTGATGTTTTTCCACATCTTCATCTTTATTTACTGTTATTAGGAGATTGGTGCTATTTTATGCCACACAATTTCAATATTATATTTGGAAATGGCTTACGTGCATTTTTCCTCTTGCCCTTTTTTCCTTGCTTTTCCTGCCCTTTTACTTCCCTCCCTTCTCCTGTTCTCATCCTTCCTCTTCCCCTTCGGGGGAAGTGATGGTTAGAAATGCAGCCTTGAGAGCTAGACTACCTAGAATCAAATCTCCGCTCTGACACCCACTAATGTGTGACCTTGGGCATATAGCTACACTTCCCTCTGCCTCAGTATCTTCTGCTGTCAAATGGGCATATTTATTTACTTCATCGAGATGTGAAAGGATTATATGTGAGTTAACTCAGTGGTATGTAAATGCTAGGAACAGTGCTAGCAATCAAAGTATTAATTTGTTTAAGATATTATTATTCTTTTCTCTAGTTCTTTCAACAGGTTCATTCAGAGATCTGCCTGTCTATTACCCATAATCACCCCAGGACTCAAGTTACTAAGAGCATGGGGGTTCCTGTTGGGTTCTCAACAGCTCTGTCATCCTAAAATGGGGAGAGATGTCCATGCAGTGAAAGGTGTAGTGAGGGAGCTTGCAAATGGCATTCTTCACAGAGATTAAATGTGGCAGGTGACATGCTGTCCCCCAGAGGAAGCAGCTCTGGGAAGACAAAGGTTGAGTGTTAGGCATAACATCCATTATCTCTCTGGACCCACTGAGAGAGTCATGTGGGACAAAATAGACAAGATGACTGCCTTTTGCATCTTAAAGTTTAGTGGAAAGACCCTCATTAAGCAATTACATATGATTGTGTTAAATGTTATGAAGAGCTATGAGCATGTATAATGGAAAGGCCTCATGGATTCTGGGGATTCAAGGAAGGCTCCATGGAGGAAAGGACTTTAAGCTGTTGTCTCTCCCATGTGCAGTCTAATAATTTGAGCCAAGAATACAGTTTATACATGTCTCTGCTATTATTTTGTACCTGAAGGGCAAACATACAGCAATAACGAAACTTTCTTTTCTTCTAATTGTCTACTGTGTCCTCACACAGTTATTTCCAGCTAATTTTATTGCATCATACAATAATCTTATCATGGTGCCTTCCATTATCTGGTAAAGTGAATGACTATTCTCTTGTGTAGTTTTTACAGTTTGTTCTTCACTTCTGCTACCCTTTATGCAACCTTACTGATCTGTGTGATTTCTCACCACTACTCTTTTTCACATCTGGGTCACTGACTTGATGCATAATTTTTGTTCCTGTCTCTGCCTTTGTAGGTCCTTTTCAGTCAGGCTTTCTAGGTAACTCTCTTTCCTGCTTATCTAGTAGATAACCTGTCTATTTGCTTCTTTAACTATTTGTCACTGACAGTTTAATTGCTAATCCTATTTGCTTTCTCAGCCAACTTCATAATATTGTTTGAAATATTTTTCCCATTCTGTTTTTGTTCTAATTATATAAATTTAATGAAATCTATATATTTAACGTATAATGAAAACAAAAAAATAGCCTAAGAAAACACAATTCTTGAGAGAATTTTTTAAAAAGTAAAAAATAAGTGACTAGCAATTCTTTATTCATTCAGCAAACATAAAGTGCTAAGTGCCAGCCAGCCTTCTAGGAGAGAAATTACTCTGTGGTCTACAGTAATTGCCCTAAGCAACATGACTTTGTCAGATGGGGATGGAGAGGGAGAATTGTAATGACTGAAAAAATTAAGATGGAGATCTGTCCTGACTAAACCTTTTCTTCCTATAAGTCAGTAAAATCTAAACACTGAATTTCTTATCTCTTTATAAGGCCTATGGCCCTGGCCCCTGCCTCCTTTAACTGAAATACATGTTCTAAGAACTCTATCTAGAACAGGTAAAATGACGGATGCATTTTACTTAGAGGCAATTCATTGAACTGGTATAGTAAGTGAAATATGCAAGGATTTTAATCTTGCATAATATGTGTAGTGGCATTTAAACAGCAAATTCAAATAATTATGTTTTTAAAATAATGACAAAATAGCACATTGCTTTTTAAATTTCCTTATGAAAACCACTGGTGAATTAATTAGTTGCAAATAGGTGATTATAAAAGTAAAAAAAAGTAAAGCTGTTGAAAGCACATGGCCTCTTAGAGAAAGGTTAATTTTTGAAACATAGCTTATAATTTCTGGAATACTTTCTTTAGTATTTTAATTTTATTTAAAATGACATTTGAATTATAATTATCATTTTCAAAGAAATTAAAAATTAAGTTTAACAGGTTGATTTGCTTTAGAATTATATTAGTCACTAATGAAATGCTTTAATAAATTTCTTTTTAGCGTTGTGGATGTATTTCGAAAAAAGGAGAATGATGCAGCAGTTAAAATCCAGAGCTGGTTTCGAGGATGTCAAGTTCGAGCATATATCAGGTATATTGATTTTGTCATGGAACCTCAGATATATCATAAAAATATACTCCTTAGAAAATGTAATTTATTCATGTGGTTCTTATTGCAAATAATGTTTTATTTTACTTGTAATGAAGTTAATAAATTGTATGATGTCCTTTAAAGACATAACTCTTTTTGGTCATATTTTCTCACATATAAAGAAACTAAATGATGTTGACCATATCTCTTTTAAAAACTCTCAATGTCATAAATATACTTGATCAGATTATTTTCTTCAAGTTCCATAGGATGTGACAAATTATTGGACTTGTATTTTTATAGCAATGAATTTATTGACTGGTAAGAAAGAAAAACAAAACAAAACAACAAAAAGAAGCTATTCCAGTCCTCTCCAACGTGTTGGTAAATAAAGGCAAATGACACCAAAATGATGTCATTCTGATTACAGAGACTGCAGTTGATCCCTGTCTTAACTGTTTCCACTTTTTCTTCAGTGGTCTAATTTCCCTCAGTTTCTCATCAATTCTGAAAAATATTGCCCTGGAAGAATATGACTAATCCGTAATTAACTCAGATGGTCAGCTAGGGGTTATACTGTATAATTCCTTATATTTACTAGTAGGAGCCAGACATGCAAATAAAAGCATGGAGATGACGGTTCTCATTTGGCCACTATACCAAATAGGAACGTGGGAGCAGAGATTATTTTTTAATTCAGCAGACTAAAATGACTTTAGCTAAGATAGACTGAGTAATGTAAGTATGAAAAAGGGAAGTGTTTCTTGACCTCACAAATTATTTCAAAGTACTTATAGCGATTCATATCAATAGTGCCTGGCTTATTTCTTAACATGTCACTATGACCTGTTTTACATAGTCTTTTTAAAAATATATTTCAATATTTCATTGCATTCTTCTTTCTTTTTAATTCTCTTTTGACTTATTTATTTTATTGAAGTAATTTACAATATTAGTTTCATATAATAGCGATTCAAAATTTTTATAGATTATATTACATTTATAGTTACAAAACATTGGCTATATTCCCTGTGCTGTACAATATATCCTTTTAGCTTATTTATTTTTTACAGAGTAGTATCTCTTAATACCCTACCTCTATCTATTCCCTCCCTCTTCCGTCCCCCCACTGGTAACTACTAGTTCATTCTCTGTTTTTTTTTTTTTTGTTATATTCACTAGTTTGTTTTATTTTTTAGATTCCACATATAAGTGATAACATGTAGTATTTGGCTTTCTCTGTCTGACTAATTTCCCTAGGCATAATACCCCATGTTGTTGAAAATGGCAAAATTTCATCCTTTTTTGTAGCTGAGCAGTATTCCATTGTGTGTGTGTGTGTGTGTATACATACATATATACATATATATGTGTGTGTGTGTGTGTGTGTGTATATGTATATATAAAAATATCTTCTTTATCCATTCATCTGTTGATGGACATATAGGCTGCTTCCATATCTTGGTAATTATAAAGAATGCTGCTATTGAATATTGGAGTACATGTATCTTTTCAAATTAATGTTTTTGTTTTATTTGGATAAAATACCCAGGAATGGATTGCTGGATCATATAGTAGTTTTTAGTTTTTTTAGTTAGGTCATATTTTTAGGTTTTTTGGGAACCTTCATACTGTCTTTAAAAGTACATGTAAACTCGGCTTTCAATTTGATTTCTTGAATTGTGAAAAGGAATATTCTAGGCAAAAATTGAAGATATATCATTGTTTCAATGAAAGCATACTAATAGGCATATTTTTCACCCAGGTACTTACACAGAGTAGCAACAATTATTCAGAAACGATGGAGAGGTTACTTAGGCAGACAACATTATCAACTAATTGTGAAGGTAAATATAAAATTTATATATGTTAGCACTTGAATTATTAAATTTGTTGTAACGAATTCACTTTAGTCACATTTACATGTAGTTTTGAAGTTACTGATAATATTTCTGTGAGAACAAAATTGGGTTTAATTTTTAGAATGAGAATTCTTCTCAGAAGCCTTTGCTGATTTTTCCATGGAGAATTGATGACTCATTTCTTTATACCCAAACTATACTAGATATTTTATTTTTGTTAAAGTGCCATTCACAGCATATGCATTTGTATGTATTATTTGTTGAAGAGTCTCTATTTTCTAGATGGTGAGCTCTTTCAGAGTAATCACTGTAGCTTGTTCATCTTTGGTCCACCAGCATTTAGACCAATCCCTGGACCATTGCACTGTCAATAAACATTGGTTGAAGTGCCCCAAATTAATTCTACAAAATAAAAATGTAGGATAATTTCTCTCTGTGCTACTTATCATTTCCTGTAATTGACTCTTGGGATTTTTGAAGATTGCCTTAATAAATATAGCATAACACAATCATCTATATCCACTGATAGACTTGCAGAAGTATGAGATAACATGCCAACTTATACTTCAGTTTAATGATTTCAGAAATTAAGAAAAAAATAATTTTTTCATACAAAATGAGGAGGTTTATAATCATTTGCCTACTTCACAAGTTTTCTGATTTGTTACTATTTTCTACTATACTAGTTTAAATTTGTTCTTAATTTATTCTTTATTAGAGGCATCTAAGTGAAATTAAAAGATATAGAGAAGGAAAAGAGAAAAAATAAGTAGACAACTAAATGATAAGAGTTCACCTTTGGCAAGAAAAGTTTAAAACATGTTAATAAAATACAGGGACTGCTTGGAGGAAGAGCCTAATACTTTAGATTTAATGAAATAAATAAAGTATTTTAAAAAAAAATGCTGGCACAAACTTTTTACAAGTATTGGATCTCTCTTACAGTTAGGTTTAAAATCACTGTGATGCTCTTATAAAGCAGATCTGATGTCCCTACAGGGGAACCCATTTTAGTGATAACTTCTCTAAATAACGTGATTCTCTCAAATTAAGCTCCTATTTTAATACTATACGTTCCCACTTAATTAATATGTCACTTAAGATTTTAAAAATCTACCAAAACCAAAGAAAAGTTTATTCTTTTAATTTAACTGGCTGAATAGCCCACTTACATGTCTGCAACAAACTTAAAGTATCTTTCATTAATTTTGTTAATTGTTAGCATGGGTTTTCTTGTCTAGAACACAAATCTCTTACATCATTGACATTTCAGACTACTTAAAAAGTAATTTTTAAGTTTTGAAATAATTTCAGATTTACAGAAAAGTTGCAAAAATAGTACAAAGAATTCCCCTATATTCTTTATGCAGATTTCTTCACTAAAGTGAACAAATTTACTTTATCATTTTCTTTTACCCCTCTATACATATTTTTGGTCTTTTTTCTATGGTTATTTTGAATTATTTGAGGCAAAGTTGCAGAAGTGGTGCCCCTTTCCTCCAATTCTTCAGTGGATATTTTCTACATAACCATATTAAAATGATCAGAATCAGGAAACTGACATCTGTACAATACTATTATCTAATCTTTAGACTCTATTCACATTTCACTGATTTTCCCAATAATGTCATTTATAGCAAAAACATCTTTTCCAGGGTAAAAACCAGGATTTCACGTTGTACCTAGCTGTTGTTTTTCTTTACTCACCTTTAATATGTTTGGTCTGTCTTTGCTTTTCATGACCTTGATATTTTTGAAGAATATAGACTGTTTTTCAGATTATTCCTCACTTTTGGTTTGGTTATGTTTCTTCATTGTTAGATTGAGGTTATGCCTTTTTTCTGGAAATACATCTCAATACTTCATGTTAGGGACCATATAATGTCAGTTTGTTGCATGGCAGTTAATGCCAAATTTGATAATTTAACACACTTACACTGAACACTTGCTAATTTTATCTTGTGAGGCAATGTTTTAAGACTGGGTATATATCTTCTTCCTCATCAAAAATTTTTACCCTAGGTTTAGCATCTAATGATGGATCTTACCAGAATCAATTATCATATTTGTCAAATAGTGATTTTCTAATTTTGTCATTTCTTCTACGTTTATACTTGTTAGCATTTTAGCATAAGAAAGAACCTTTTTTCCTCTTTCTTCCTTTCTTTCCTCCTTTCTCTTTCTTTCTTTCTTTCTTTTCTTTTCTTTCTTTCTTTCTTTCTTTCATCAGTTTTAACTCATGAATTCCTATTTTATTTAATGGGTTATAATAAATTATCACTAACTGATTTGGTGATAAAATTTTCCTAGATTTGGCCAGTAGGAGCTCCTTCAAGTCAGTTTTTAATAGAATCAGATTACTTAAACAGGATGATCAAAAATTAAGCTGTTTTCTATGGAGTAATGAGCATTTTTAGCCCTATTGTTTATTATTATTCATTAGTGGTTGGAGATCTATATCTTTGTGTAGACAAGACAGGAGAGTATACTTATGTATATGTCATTCCATGAACATTATGACTTAACTTTCATTGCTGCTATTTCTGTTCACAGCCACCATTCAGATGGTTATGAATTGACACCTCCTTTTAATCAAACATATAAAAGTGTATACATTTCAGTGACTATTGTCAAAATATTCAACTTTGGAATCTATATTTGTTCTAATGGTGTTGGAGTTGCTGAAAAAATATCTTTAAAAGTTCAAGTAATGAGCCACCCAAGAAAATTGTTTGTTACTTTAGTGTCTCAACTAGGTTTGATCAAAAAGAGTATTGCTCAGCATCGTCGCCAAGTTATTCTCCAGATTTGCATCTAATTATCTTTGGGCTCTTGAAAACAATTAAAAATGGAGATTTTCCTCAGTTAGATTGGTTCTTGGTGGTTCTTAAATCTATTGATCTGTAAGGTATTTCAGAACAGGTCTGTTTTATTTATTTATCTGTTTTTGCCATTGAATGCACATAAGGATTCAATAAATAACATAATCTGATCTCAGTACATAATTATTTAATGAGATTAAAATAGCTGACATTTACTGGTTGACTAGTGAAAGTGAAATATTGTACTAAGCATTTTGTATACTTAATGTATATACCAACTAAAGTCTTATACCAGTCCTGTGAATACTATCACCATTTAACAGATGAGGAATTTTAGGCTCAGAGATAGTTACTTCCCCAAGGATACACTGTTAGTGATAAGTGGAGAAAAGTTCAAACCCGATTTGGTTTGATTCCAAAACCCTTATATATAGGTTTGATAGGCAGTTCAACCTCGGTCATTATTGGAGATTTCCCTTCTCTGGTTTATACAGAAGTCCCATGAGACTTAAGTAGTGCCAACATAGCAGAGATTCTTACTTTTGTCGGGTCTTCATTCATAAGATGTCTATTGTCCGAGCTCATGTGTGTGTTTGATCCTTCAGGATTCATCCTTGGAGGGCTCCATGGCTACTGGGCCACATAAAGGAAAAGGGAATTTTTGCCAAAGCTGATATCTTCCCTAGTGCTTAGAATCCTGTCTCTTCCACAGCTGCCACCAAGTTTATCCCTAGAGTTTTAGCCACCTCCCAGGAGCAATAAGAATGCCCAGTGTCGTATTTTCTTATTACAGAAGCTAACACCTCGCTCTTTCCCAGGCATGTAGAATATTTACTCTGTTTTTTCTCTTTCCTGCTTACACCTCTCCTCTTATCATCCCCGCACACCCTCAGTGTAATTTCTCAGAGCTCAGATTTTAGAGCTGAGGACACATAGTCCTATAGTAATTGTTTAAACCACCATTTCCAAATTTATTCTGCATAAATTTTTGTTTTTGCCTAACAGCTATATATGAATACAATAATAATAATGCCATATAGTATATATTAGGCTACAAAATGAATGGTATAGTTAGCAATTTTAAAACTTTAGTAACAGTTGCTGTTACTAAAATTTAGCAAAATTTTTAGCCCTGTATGTAAAATAAGTACAAACAGTGCAGCTATTTTGGAATCAGAAGAAACAGAACTGCTTGGTCTCTTT